GGTCTGACTAACTCTGGCAACGTCAATCTCATCAAGTTCCTAAATCCAAAAATCGGACAGCGTCTGACCTTGAAACCCTCGGGTAGAAACCCTCACAGGGGTTTCTGTCCCGACAGCGCGTCATCTGATCCGTATCCAAAGTCCCCTGACCCCAGAGCAGCGAGGGGTTCGACCTCTAGGAGCGCAGATGACAGGTCACCCACTCCCAAAAACTCTTGCGTCTACTGTAGAGGAGATGATCATATCAAGAGAGACTGCCCGGATCTCAAACGGGCAATAGATGATGGACTTGTCGTGCTTGATGACCGCAAGTACGTCAAGTGGGCAGATGATCTGGGAGACGTATCAATGTTCCCTTCGATGAAGGAAAACGTAGACGCAAGGAAAGTAAAGCCGAGTAAAGGGAAGGAACCGGTTAGGAGCCAGAGCATCAAGATAACTTTCAAAGGAGATATGGCAACTACACCCATAAGGGTGGCAGCTACCAAGTCGGTGAGAGGCTCTACATCGAAGAAGACTGACACGGATTATGTGGTGGCAGAAAAGGATGGACAGCGGATCAATGTGGAGGAGGTTATTCTTTCACCGCGAAAGCGGGGAGTGAAGAAGTTCTTGATGAAGAGTTCGTTGAATGATATTGACACGGTCGAGTCCCTGAGACAGGCCCTTCGGCAACCCATGCAGTGCTCTATTCTGGAATATCTGGCAGCATCCAAGTCGGCTCGTGATGAGTTACAGATGATCACGCAAAAGACTCGCATACCTCTATTGGAGGAGGTTCATGTGGCCCCTAAGGCGGATGCTCCTACTGTAGCAGTATCAGAGGTGTCAGGTAGAGCAGATCGCATGGCGACAGTTCTTCTTGGTGGGATAGAAGGCGTGCCTCCAGACAAGTTTTACATACTTGGAAGTGGGACCATGGAGGCGATCCTAAACGACGGAGCGGTTCTAGATGCTGTGATCGATAACGGCAGTGAGGCTGTCATTATAGACGAGGATCTGGCAGAGCAAGTTGGACTAGGACTCGATAGTTCATACTTGTTCGAGATAGAGACGGCTGATGGGAGAAAGCAACAGATCACAGGAGTCTGTCACAAAGCAGCCGTAGAGGTTCAAGGGGTACGCGTGACCCTGCCAGTCTTTGAAGTCAAGAACTGCAGCTCTGACTTGCTCTTGGGACGGACGTGGTTGAGCTATGTGCATGGGGTGACGATAGAGCGACCGGGCGGGAGCCAGACATTGTCTATTAAGAAGCTAGATGGGACGCGGGTTATGATTGAGACAGTGGAGCCTCGAGACCCGAGGAACAGAGCAGCTCTCGCAGAAAGGTGTGAGACCTAGTGATCGGATTAAGTCATTACCTGTCTCCAGCCGCACGGTGCGGTTTCGCGAGAAGAAGTATGGACCTCTGCTCACAGAAGAAGAAGGCCGGATTGTAGAAGTGGAAGATTTAGGGCGCAGGCTGATAGTGGATGGCAACTCGTATCCAAAGGAGGTAGATGAAAAATTTGGCGGCGTGGTATCTGTGTCTTTTTTAAGGGCACGGACCCCTATGGGGGGCTACCCAAGCGACACAAGCGAGTAGCTCAGAAGGTTAAGCCAGCGGCGGTGGGCCGCGAACGATCTGCACTGGTAGGGATAACGGAAGAAGAGATCGCAAAAAAAATTAAAGAAAGAAAGAAAAAGGAGCCGCAACGTCTAACGGAAGAGAGAATAGCAGGGATGGACATCGGAGATGGAAATCTGACCCCACAGGAACGGGAACGTGTGATAAAAATCTTAAAGACGTGCGATAAGGCTATAGCTTTCAGCGACGCAGAGCGCGGTAGGGTCGACCCTCGTTACGCTAAGCCAGCAAGGATTTACACGATTCCACATGTTCCATGGAATGACGCAGGATGGAAATACGCCCAAAAGGAGAAGGAAGAGGTTATCGCTTTCCTGAAAGAAAAGATGGCTTCTCATGTTGCAGAACCATCTGACAACGCTTATGCTAATCGATGGTTCTTATTATGAAAGCCGAATGGCAAGATCCTGTGGATCCAAGACCTTCAGAAGGTCAACGCGGTAACGATTCGAGACGTAGGCTCCGTGCCTCATGCCGACTTACTGGCTGAAGGCGCCGCGGGCAGGTCAATTTATTCGGTTTGTGATATGTTCTCAGGCTATGATGAGGTACCGCTTGATCCCAGGGACAGGCACCTCACGGCTATGCACACGTCATTGGGACTGATACAGATGATGGTCGTCCTTATGGGTTGGACTAATGGGGTAGCCGTTTTTCAGAGAGTCATGGTAGCCGTCCTCAAGGACTTTATTCTTGACAAGGTTGAAGTTTTTTTGGATGACTTTCCTATAAAATGACCGGTAAAGAAAGATGAGACAGAGGTCGTGCTAGGAGTTAGAAGATTCGTCGAGCAGCACCTAACCGATATTTATACGATACTTGAGCAGCTGGACGATGCAAATTTGACGGTCAGCGGAACAAAGAGCCGATGGACCGTCTCGACTATTAAGATCTTAGACTTTATCTGCGACTTAAGAGGACGCCGAGCGGATCCTGCAAAGCTAGACAAACTCCTAAATTGGTCGTCGCCGTTACATAGCGCTACCGAGGTCCATCAATTTCTGGGAGTGGTCGGTTACTTGAGGATTTTCATACGCAGGTATGCGGAGAAGGTTGAGCCATTGAGGGTACTCCTTCGGAAGACTGAGAAATTCTACTGGGATTCCTCTCAGGAACTCGCTATGCAAGAGCTTAAAGATGAATTTAAGGAGGGAGGGCGTGTACTGGGCGTGTCGTTCCTTGATGATGAGGTCGAGAGACCCTTCATAGTATCCACGGATGTTTGACCTTGTTCAGTTGGAGGGCTGCTGTCTCAGAAGGATGCTGAAGGGAAGGAAAAACCGTTAAGATTTGAGAGTATGACACTTAATATGGCTGAGCGTAACTACAGTCAATTCAAGAAGGAAGTGTTAGCTGTTCTGCGGTATCTAGACACGTTCAGACACTATATCTACGGACGGCGGTTCATCTTGAGAGTAGATCCCACGGCGGTTGCCTCTGTCCTCTAGAAGGACTTTAGTCTGACGGACCCCACCATCGCACGATGGTTAATACGGATTCGACTATATGATTACACAGTTGAGAGAATATCGGGTACTAAGAATGTCGTGGCGGATGGGCTTTCTTGGATCCCTCTTGAGGCCGAGCGCCCGATAGTAGTTGGAGCTCTGACAATGGCGGAGCCGAGACGCGCCGATCGATTTCTGGTTAACCTTTACGAGGGCAAATACCGAATGATCGGGGTACACTTGTAAGAAGAGGAGAGTCAAGATTCAGATATCCGGAGACAAGCAGCCCAGTACTGCCTTAGAGCGGGCCATCTATTCCGAAGACCAGTCGGGTCGGGGATGCCCCTACGAGTAGTCTGTGATCCTGAAGAGAGACAGACGATAGTTGAGGAGCTTCACGGCGAGGTAGTCGGAGGTCATAGAGGAGTCTAAGGAACCTACGAAAAGGTACGCAGACTGTACTGGTGGGAGAGACAGTACAAGGACGTCGAGAGATACTGTATAACCTGCGAGGAGTGGTAGAAGAGAGCTCTTGTGAGAGTGGTAGAAGAGAGCTCTTGTGAAATACAAAGAGTCACTTCATCCATCCTATCTGACAAGGCCAGGAGAGAAGGTACATATCGATCTGGTGAAAATGCCGAATGGAGTAGGCAATATGAACTATGTTGTGAATATACGAGATTACTTCACTGGGTTCGTGGACGGTAGACCTATCAGGAGTAAGTCGGCAAGGGAAGTGAAGAACTTCGTCCTAAAGTACTTATCTAGGTATGGATGTGTCAGCAAGATAGTAATGGATAGAGAGGAGGAATTTCTAGCTGACGAGGTTCAGAGTGTGTTCAAGAGAGTCGGGCGAGAGTTTCGATAGCCACCGCCTACCACCCACAGTCGAACTCTTAAGTAGAGAGGGAATACCAAACTTTGATAGCGTCACTATCCAAGTGGTGCAAAGGTAAGGATAGCGATTGGCCACGATATTTTCGATACGCAATATGGGCGGACAACGTCACCGTCCGGGCTAGCACTGGATACCCACCGTACACCTTGTGGTTCGGACGACATTGTCCTCTCCCCATAGAGTTTCACATCGACAGCTGGACAACCGTCGACTGGGCGGAAAGGATGTCTAGAGAGGAACTCATAGCTGCCCGAACAATACAGATAGCCTACAGTTTGGAAGACAACCTTATGACGACAGCAGATCGTCTGGCAGTGGAGAGAGACAAAGGTAAAGAGAGATGGGATAAGGGCGTGCGGATCAGGAAAGAGAGGGTGAGCGTAGGAGATATGGTCCTTCTCTACGACGCCGAACTGGAAACGACCTGGACCGGAAAACTCGCCAACAGATGGATGGGGCCTTACAGAGTGGTTGAGGCGCTCGACTGGGGTGCCTATATGATAGCAGAATTAGACGGATCCAAGTGGAAGGACCCAGTGGCAGGTGCTAGGTTAAAGTTGTTTAGACCCAGGTCTGCACCCACCTTATCGCTGACAGGCCCGAAAGGGAAAGGGAAGGCCAAAATGGAGGATGGAGCCCCCTCGAGAGGGGAAAGTTCCAAGAAGAGGAAAAGGGTGGAGAAAAGGAAGGTCAAAGGGTTGGCGATAGGAAAGAGGAAGAAATGGTTATTCGTGCTCGGGAGAGCCAGACGGAGAGTTCGTATTAGACAAGCTGACGAGTCGGCACCTTTCTTGGGCCAACGTTAGAAGAAAAAGAGAATCCTACCCAAGGCAAAATCCCGAAGAAAAAGGAAAGTCAAGAAACATTTTCTTAGCCCCAGAACTCATAACAAACTGAAACATAAGACAATTAAACACCGACGTGGGCGTCCTTTACGGGCAATCACGCTGAAGCTCGTCCGCTTGGTTTGACGTAAGTGGTTAGGTCTCGACGGGGGCGTCGAAGAGGTACGGGCTAACTGTCAGGCGGCCACAAGGGATGGGCCGCCTGAAATCTGCCGCTTTGGGGACTTAGGCCCAAAGACAAGTCCGTGTTTTGACGGTACTCTTGTTTGACCAGGCGGCAAAAATTAGGGGTACTCAGGACACCCCTGATTTTGGGCGCACTGAACCTTACGAGTAACCCTAAAAAACGCGGAGGGTTGACCCCTGTTCCAGGGCGTTGGCGCCTGCCTACTTTCTGTCATTTTTGAGCCTACAAGCAAAAAGGCTACTCGCGGGAGGCAAGCGCAACAGCAGGCCTTGGATCGGCCCTTTTATCCGACCCTGCGGGTGGGGTAGTGCGGCCTAAAAATTTCCTTACTTCTGATAGCAAATCTAGAAACGAAAGGAAAGCCGAGGAAGAAACAAACACGGAGAAAAGCGAGATATTTGGTACATTACCAAATTTCTGTTGTATATGATTGTATATTAAAAAGAAAATTTATTTGTTATTGCCTGCAATAAATTCAAAAGTAAAAAAAATGATTGGAGCAATTAGAAGGATAGGAAAACAAGGAAATTTCAGTAATTCCTCATAATCCCTTTGGAGTTCAATTTTTGTAGAATAATGATATTTTTTTATTTTCTGAAAATAGAATTAAAAGAGAGAGGAGAAAGTTAAAAATGATAAAAGAGACTATAATTCATGATTATTAGAAAGTCTGATACATTTTTGTCTAGATTATCCCTTGTCGGCATATAACTCAGATTTTTTTTTTTTCTGTAATTCTAGCGAGTTTTCTCCAGTCACCGATAATCACGATTCTGTGCATCATTAACCCGATTTACCTGATAGTTGACCCTACTAACTGAGTGTATGAGAGGAGAGGCCGCATCGTCAGTATGGGATGGTATTATTCTGGTGCTACTCTGATATCTGGTACGAGGTACGAGGATGTTCATGTTCTCCAGCACCCTGCGGCATCCAACATAGCGCAGGTCCAGTGACGGTCCGACGTCGACATGGTACGCTACTCGGCACCATTTTCAGGTCCGGTATTGCCCTGAGATTGAATCATTTTCAGATTTGGAACCAGTCTCGCGATTTATTCTTGGTTTGGGAATGTCACGATGATTTATTTCCAGGTTCGATACCGTTGACGCATTATATTCCAGGTTCGGAATCATCACGATGGTTTAATTAAGGTCTGGGACCTCGAGGTATATTGTTCCAAGCCCAGAACTACTGTGCCATTTGTTTCGGGCTCCACGCCATCAGCTTTTTCCAGGATCGGTACCACGAAGACAGTTCATTTCAAGTTAGGAACCACTATGACGGTTTATTTCCTGGTTCGGTATCACAACAACATTTTATTTCCAGGTTCAAATCAGCTCCTATGGGACGATCTCGGGTACGGAGCCACAACTGCGGTATATTTTTAGATTCGACTTCACC